CGAGAGTGTTTAGAAGTGGCAAAAAGCTCAATGCAGAATGTAAATATCTGGCGAGTGTTGGGCACGCTCAAAGTGTGTTGAGAGCCGCCCACAGTGGCCCGAGCTTGCCCTTAATCGCAGGATACTGATTTTAAAAGTTTGTAAAATAGTTCCAGAGCACTCCAGACACCGGAAAAAGTGGATTAAGGTCAGCAGAGGGTCGCCGGTGAGGATTGTGGGGCACAAACATTGTGGGCGGGGCCTGCTCCGAGGTGGGCGGAGTCAGACGAAGAATCTGTAAAATAGTTTCAGAGCACTCCAGACACCGGAAAGCCGGGCCGTATCAGAAGGAGGCGCGCCGGCGTCAGCCGGTGAGCCGACTGGTAGCACATAGGCAAAAAGACCGCAGGAAATTTTTGGACAATCCAATAATAAATAATCGAATAACTTAGAAAAACGGACTTTGACCGTTGATCCTCCTAGTTGGCCCGAACAATACCATCAGCAACCTGCTCTGTGATATTGGTTCTTTCATTGTACGCATTACGGCTGATATCCAGAACATATACTCCACATCTGCTCCATCATATCGAGCATCTATACCAGACAGTAACAGAGCACGAACGGTCTCTCGCAACTGAAATGTAGGGCTGCTCTCATACTTTGCCACGCGACCTTTTAGGAAAATAAGGCTGCGTCCATACTCTACATCAGTGTAAACCGGCGACCACCAGCGTCCACTAGCATTTCTAGCGTACGCCAGCGTCCATTAGCGTCCACCAGCGTCTCAAGGGAATAGGTAAGTAGTATCGTACTAGCGAACGCCAGCGTACAGCAGTGTTCGTGATAGTTCAAAAGTGCCCGCGAACCTTTAGCGGACGCTGGTGGACGGTGGTAGACGCTGGCAGACGCTGTTAGACGTTGGCGTTCATTAGGTCGATATCTATACTTTCCTAGTCGCTGGCGTACGCTCAGAAGGCTGGTTGTCGGGTGTACGCTGAGGCAAAGTATGAACACAGTCTCATCGTTTCGGGCGCTGATCGCTACCTATTCTATCCTTTTGGCTTGAAACATTAGTCCCCAAAACATCAGATCGATACCTATGCTTTCCCTATTGCACAGAACGCCGATTCACAAGGTATGAACACAATTTAACAAAGAAACTAGGCACCTCCATTTCGACCGCTGGCAATGATCCAGCCTCACTCTCCGAAAATTGCTTCAGTGTATCTTGCAATCGACCGTTGTCTCGTTCGAGGACTGCTCGGAGCACTTTAGCACACTCAGTAAACGCCCATTTGGAACACATCTGTAATCCGAATACTCAGATACGAATTCAAAATAGCTCTTGTAAATAGTATACCGTGTGTATAACTCTTCCTACTCCACATTTATCGATTTCATCATTTGTAAGGGCTCGGTCACAAAACGACATCAATAGATTGATTCTTTTCGATGTGGGGAAGCATACCGACACCGACTTGAGAAGTTTACCTAAACAGTAGAAGCTTTGATCCTGTTAGCAAATTTGTATTGAGTACCACAACACTGGGGTCAAAACCTTTGGATTGTAGGTGAAAGGATTACCACATCAGCGCTCTTGGTTACTTCGACGGACAACAGAACAATCGACGAAATGATGCTCGGATGGTGTGCCAATGGAATGGACGGGTATTGATCGGCGCTGCTCGCTAGCGCAGTGACGTTTTTGGGGAATGCGCGTTCTCCAAGAAGTCAATGCGCAAGGGACCATTGTTCTTGTCCTAGCAGATGAGTTTGGTACTGATGAGTGCACCGTTAAACTATGACGCTTTCTCGGTCTCGGGCGGAAGTCAATCAGGAATTTTGAGGACCACAAGCATGTAGAAAGGCGCCATTTGCCACTGCGCCAGGCGTGAAGGTTAACCTCGCAACATTCCACGGCTTATAAGGGTTTGAAGGGATTGCAACGAAATATCTCGGTTTATTTGTGGGATATTTACAGAACGTTGCAGTATGACGCGAAATATTCGACTGGAACCAATTTTGAAAATGTTGCAGGGGGTTTCTAATTTCCTTTAGGATTATTTTAGCCTTCTTGAGCTTATTTAGGGAGTTCGAGGGCATGGCTAGTGTGCCAGGGGTATCCTGTGCATTGAGCTGCATCCACTCCTCTGGCACGTATTCTCCTAAAATGTCAGTTCTCCGATTCTCCTATTCTTGGGTCGCAAACAATGACCTCATTCTTAACCACTCGCTGCAAAACTATGCCGTGCAGCTTTAGAGAATGCTAAGTTTGTCCCTGTTCCGGTGTTAGTGGGCGACTCTTATTGCTGGAACTTCACCGGTGCTGGCTGAGATCGAAACAGTTGGGCAACAGCAGACAAGTCTTGCATATGTATGCAGGCAAAGGGTGGTTGTAATCAAGTTCAAGTACTTGGTGTCCTACAAGGGAGGTCGTTCAGGGCGTGGTGCGCTTTTCGAAAACGGTTTTTTGCATATTGTAGGGGCTCATGCAAGGACCTGAAAAGTGTGCTTCATTTTCGCTGCGCGCTTCCAGGAACGGTAAAAAACGAGTGAAAAGAAATCTTTGGAATCTGCTTCGTTCTGGGCCTCTTACGGCGTAGGTCACTTGCAACTTTGACCAGTTGCTGAGTGGGGGGTCCTTATAAAGGGGCTATTTGAATCGAAGCGAAAAATCGCCGCAAGTGAGCTTCCAACTTGGGTCATGTGCTCAAGGGTGAACGGCTTCTTGCAATGGTTTCATCAACGATAAGAGTGCTAGCAGTGTCGAGCATCGGATGGCCTAGTGGAGTAGAGTGAAGGTTTCGCAATCGGACAGTGAGGGTGGGGTTGATGGTTCGGCTCCCCTTGTGTCGTGGCTTTTTGCATTTTTTAGATTTCGCTGTTCTCGCTTCCATTTCTGTCTGCGCATGAATATAACTCGGATATTTGCCATTTATGGGCACATTCTGAGTAGCTGTACCTCATGAGTCAGTGCTATTCAACTATTTCGATTCTCACGCACTCATTGAACAAGATTGTTGCTGGACGTTGATCCTCATAGGCTATACAGTGGATCTGATTGCGAATTTAGTAACTTCTGGTGTGGTGTCAATTATAGACAATTTGGGGCCACATCTTCTTTCCACTGAATTCGTTATGTAAGACCAATATAGGGAACGTTCAGGCGCTATTCTGTCGCCAGATTGCGTGGACGCCAAGAATAGGAGTTATATTTGTGATCAGGACCACTGATTACCACTAAAAACGAATTTTTGGTTAAAACAATTGTTTGACCTTCTTGGGTTTGCTTAATGGGTTGTCGCGGGTGTCCCGTAGCGCCACCGATACGTCATCGCTGTTACGAAGATGTGAGACTCCGCTCACACTGCCGACCAAATGGTCGGACACCTACAACCCGAGAAAGTCAAAAAAATTTTTTTTTCGCTGAAAACTTGTTCCTAGGGGTAATCGACAGTCCTGATCACGATTCTAGACTTTATTTTCGGTTTCAGTGCCATCTGGCACCGGCATAGCGCCGAAGAGCTGAGTCTGTGCATACTAACGAATTCGAACGAAAAAGCAGTTTTGCTCCATAAAAGTAGGATTGTTCAGTTTATCGTGAATGTTTTTGTTAGGACCAATTATTTAGACAAACATGGATCCAAAAATGAAAAATTGTAGAAAAGCAAAATTTTGTCCTCGGTGGGATCCGAACCATCGACCTATTTTTTACGTTTTTTTTTATTCGTGGAAGCGCGCAGCGAAAATGAACCTCAGTTTTCTGGTCCTCGTATGTGCCCTACAATATGCACAAGACCATTTTGAAAAAGCTCACCACGCCCTGAACGACCTCCGCTTGTCAGTCACAGTTCTCTATCAACTCTTGAAGCGGGAAAGCTACAAGAACGGGCTGGCGCCGCGCTAACCCAGCTCCCCTGACACGCCCTGTCTGCACCGAAAACGACTACACCTTGCTTGCAGCCGTTCCTACAATTTTTCCAACTCGGTCCGCCCATCTTCCATTTTTGCAAGGTATGTACGGGGCCTTACAAGTGTAAAGAATTCTTGCTTTAGAAAGATTCCAAAGGCTGCACTAGAACGTAATAGCATCAGCCTCGGGAGTTC